TATCTTAAATTAAAGCAGGAGGCCGAGGCGGTTTTAACCACAGTCAGTTTTTTCTGAGGCCAGAAAAAAATAACCTTCCCACTCAGCTTCATATTAGAACCACTAAGCTTACCTGAGTGCGATGTGCAGAATATACACAGGCAGGTTGACTTTGTGGGGCTGCAGGCCTTTGCCCACCATCTGACTCATGTCTGCAGCTCGCCTTGACTTCAGGATGGAGGACACCTGCCCCCCACAGGCCAGAAGGAGGGTTACAGCTGTGTACACTGGTACCATGTGACCACAGAACCTCAGTATCTGTCAGATAAGATGCCACAGCGTGAATCAAGTTGGTAATTAAAGATGAAAGATTTATTCGAATGCCACGATGCCCCTAATTTCACCGGAATAAATAAAACAAGGCAATTCCTACCTGTCCGAGCACCCTGGGTAACGAAGTTCTTATGGAGACCTAAGTCACAGGGTAAATATTTAACAGTTTGTCACAACAAATGTGAAGAAGACTCGACCTTCTTTCTGGTAGCTGGAAGGTAGTACCTTATACTGGCAGTTGGGGGCAGTGTGGAGCTGCAGGAGTGCACCTGAGGTGTTGTCTGGACGACTTGTGTGGAGCATCCCTGAGATCTCCGTCACTGATGGCACGCTGGCAGACAGATCACATCAATCATGACAGGTTAAAAGAAAAGCTACTCATCATAGGTCAAAAACAGTTCTTGTTTTACTGGTACTAGTCTAAGTCAAACCCCTCAATTCATCCTCTGTCTCTAACAAGCAGATGTAAAACCTCTTTAAGTAAACTTTCTTTTGATTGGCTGTCCCTCCCAAACAGAAGGTTGGAACTGCAGGTGGGTCAGGCTTCTGCGCTCTCAGGCTTCTGCGCTCTGGCATGACCGCAGTGGGAAATTCGATCTTACTGACATCAGACGGGCCAAAATGTGGAGGGAAATAAAAGCATTTGGCTCACCATGGTTACTTAAACATAGTCTCTAAGAATAACTTCAGAAACTCACCTGACCGTGGTTAAAGAGTCCTCTCGAAACCATGGCACCTTTATCCTGTACACGCTCGGCAATCTGTCTGCAGACACACAATCAGTCACCACTATTACATTACAGCATGAGCACATGAGCCTCTTGATCCAACAACACACACTCACCTTTCTGTACTTTGCACTGGCTTGCAACATTAATTCTGAAAGCCTGATAGACCTGGAGACACAGAGGAGTTTTAAATTTAGCTGAAACAGGGAAGCTGATCCTGACTAGAACCTGAGAACACAGTGAAAGCTACCTGGTGAAAGTGTTGCAGCTCGATGGTGTGAAGAAGTCCAGAGGAGTTAACCGTAACATCACTCGAGGTCAAACCTAAAAACCCAAATAACAATTGCTGAAAAAAAAAAAAAACAACCTTTTTTTTTTAAAAAAAGTTTGTGAATCGGTTTTACTAGATTACTCACCGAAGGACAGGACATGCGGCACTGCGACAGACAGAGTCTGAGATTCTTCTCTTTGCCACTCACACTCCACCGTGAACTGCAGAGCAGACAGACACACAACCTTGACAAGCTCTTTAAAAAAAGGGGGTTTGTTTGTTTGGCTTCTTCCTCTTCTGGCCTCTGTTTTTGGGTAGTCTGAGGCTGATCACAGATCAGGTCAGAATCAGCATGTAACATACAACTGGATCACCTCCATCACTGCTTTTGGTTTAGTTGAGAGAGGCTTGCCCAAGTAGAGCAAGCAGGACGCAGCACACATCAAATCCATTTCTCACGGTAAATTTACAGCACAATAACATCTGCGGGCTAAATTGGACATCACACAGACTTTACACTATGGAACTAGGAGGTTAAAGCTAGTCTTAGCAGAATTTGTGAACCATTTCACCTCTGTTAGGTTTAAAACGGTAAAAGGAGTGAAAACAGCTTCAGCTTTTTATATATCAAAAAAACTTTAAATCCTTTGATGCCACTGTGGACTTGTGCACATTGACCACAAACACTCATGACTAAACTCAGCTATTCTTCGGAAAGCTGTGTACAAAATCTACAGCCAGAAAGATGATATGGAGCTTAAAGTTTAAATAAAACAAGCCAACACTGGTCTCCTCATTTCAAATATAGGCTATGGAAGTAGAAGTATAACAATGGCAAACAGACCAGAACATTTTTACTGCAGGTTAATCTGAAATACTGAGTCATTGTTTAGTTTGAAGTACCTGCTTGCCATTGAGGTTTGAGGCCGAGACAAACAGATGAGTAAAAGACGACAAGTCACTGAGCCTCAGAGTCAGGACCTGAGGAGGACGACAGACTGTTAGGACAGCTGATGGGATAAAGACTGAACTGAATGGAGTCTCTTTTAGACCATAGTTACCTTGTAGGGAGGCAAAAGCTCAGTTCCCTTAGACAGATCCGCTGCAAACACACTGGAGGAAAAGAGACATAAAAGAAACAGAAATAAATAATTGTGTAACACATCCACAAACTCCATCACATTTTTCACATTGGAGAAAAATATTAAAGATGCTTATTGAGAATAAAGGTGGTGTGAAAAGCTTGACATTAATGATATACTTACCATGATGAGCCATTCTTTTGCAAACAGCCATACACCCAGCTGGTCATCTCCTGTTGGACAATAAATCAGAATCTCTTTTCACTTGGTTTCAAATTTAAAAAGATGTTCTTGGTTCTCCTGCACTAAATATGAAGCATTTAGCCTTAACTCTTACACATGTTAATATTATCAAGCTCTTACAGCTCAAAAACAAAAGGTAGTAACTCACCAGGTTGTTGCTCCGGCAGTAGAAATGGCTGTAGGCTTTCCTGCGACTCGACAGGGCAAACAGGAAGAACTTGGGTTGACCTTCCTGTACAAACAGAGAGCAAAACACTTATGATTACTGTAATCGCTTTGTTTGTTTTGTCAGATTAATTAGTCAAATAATCCTGTTTTGTAGCCTTGACCAGATGTGAAGTGCGACATGTGGGTTTAACTGAGACATCGTTTATGGGACGCTACACGCTCATACTCTTCAAGCACAGTGTAGTCACACCGTAAAGCACAGCCTGATTTATTATCTTATTTTCATTTATTTTTAATGAGACGATAACTGACACAATAAACATTGTGTTATATTCGATAAGACTCTAAAGTAGCGCTTGTAATCACGAACAATGAATCAGGAACATGTTTACTGAGGTCACAAGTAATTTTATAATTTCTATACAATCAGAATTCTTTTTGAAACAGGAGGCCCCGCCCCCTCATGGCCTTTAAGCACTACTGCACTGGTTTCATTTTTCAGACCTGTAAGCTACGTCCATCTTTTTCATACAGTCTATGGATTAGACATCACTCCAGATGGTTTCATTTTTACTGAGTAGATACATTTTATACATTAAAAATAACTTTCTTTTACAACTTGTATCAGCTACTGGCAGATAATCCATTCAATTATTAATCATCATTACAGATGGGTGAGGCTCTGTTGTACCTTTGGTGTGCTGTAAGCCAGACGAAGTGTGTTAACTTCACTCCATGCATCAGGAAGATCTGGAAAAGAAAACAGACAAACAACAGGACACCGATCTTAGTGATTCATCATTAATGCACAGTGAGGTACAGCGAAACTTTGGATGCAAGTGTATTACACTGTCGCCATGAACCATAAAAGAAGAGATGGAGACCTGAAATGGAGACTGGTGTCTCTTGAGTTTCTCCAGGCAACCTCACGGGATGTTTAATGAAATGATGGTTCAGCACAGCTAACTTCTTCTCAGAGTTTTCTGTGAACTGTTAAGAATAAACTGATTAAGTTAGGTTGTCAGATTTATTCATTTGCTTTAAATATTCCCATCTCCCAACTCTCTCTGATGGAGGTTTGTCTTTCATGTCTCCTCAGCAGGAAAACACATGTTGTTGTTCACACCTGTCTGGTTTCAGGATCGATGAGATCAAAGAACGCCCTGACAGTGGCAAGAACAAGCTCCTTGCACCTGAAACACAAAGACACACAAACATAAATAATTTTAGTAATATTTAAATATGGCTCCAAAAAAGGAAAAATCTTTACCAGACAATGGAAATGATCATAGACACCCACGTCTGGGAACTGCAGTCACTTGGTAAAACAAGACAAAACTTAAGATCAAAAGTACATTTAAAAAACAGCACTGGAGTCAAAAACAACACAAAATGAGAACTTTCCTCAAATGTCCAAAGTGAAACGAACCAAAGGACCAGAGAAAAACGGCTGAATTGAAACTTTTCAGGAGCAAATCGTACACCAGTGACAGCTTGTCGGGCCCTGGAGAACGGCAGGAAGTGAGGCCGGAGCGGACCTGGTAGTCACGATAACCACCCCGACGGACAAACTGTGACATTCCTGAGCTTGTTTCCTGTTAACCCACTTCTGTCGACGCGAGTAGAAATCTGCACACAGCAACCAAGCAAAAAAAAAAAAAACTGTAGAAATCTGTTTATGCTACATGAACGAGTTGAACTGAGCAGGTTTGACCAACTCTTACCCAGCAGGTACGGGTCCAGGGCCAGCACTGGAGCCAGGTGAGGGGAGGCCTGGGTGATGATGATGCTGACCAGGTTAGTGTTGAAACGAGGCAAGTGAACAGTGCCGGGCCACCACTCCTCCCATGGAGTGACCGACGAGCACAACGCTCTGAGGTGGGGTCTTCAGTGCTGGAGAGATAAAACCCGTGAAATTTTCAAGTCTTCTGGCGTGTGTAGAGTTCAACTTAGTTTCCCTTCACTTTAAATTTGATATTAGGTGAAGACCGGTTATAATCTCTCTCTCTCTCCGTCACTTGGAGTAACCCAGTCTGATATTCAAGGCCTAACCTTGTACAGCCTCAGGATGGCTTTGATGCTCTCGTGCAGGAATCGTCTGCTGAGCAACTGCCGCCGTAAAGCGCCACCAGCTCCTCGTGAAGTCCACAGTGAACACGTTGAAGTGGAGACCTCCCTCCATGGTTTCAGCCTTCCTCATGCGACTGAGCCCAGAGATCGAGCTTCAACAACAGAAGAACAAGATGGTGTTAATCAGTGAGGATTAAACTGAATGATGTGTGAGCTGTGGGGTCAGTACTACTTAGCTATCCAGCATCATCTGATCAGATAAATCTCTGCAAGAGTTATTTATAATTTTCTTTTTTCAGACTTTGGATTATTGATAAAAGTGATCATGGAAGCCAGAAAATGGAAGCAGGAGAAGAAATGTTGAGGAATACTGCATGCAGGGCAGCAAAAAACCACAGAGTAACAGCAAAATCGTTTGTATTCACAGGAATAAAGCGGGGGCGTTCCACTCCTAACACAGCTGTGGAACAATGGATAGCCACCATATCTCAGAAAGAGTTGCATACAGAGTTTGTGGAGAGATATGAAGTCAGAAGATTCAGGTTGAATTCCAGAATTAAAAATCTAATATACAATAAATTATATATAAATGCAGTGCACATTATTCTTAAACTATTAAAAAGTATATTCACCTATTACTGCATTTATTTAGCATTAGATTGCAGTTTGAGCAATCTACTCAGCGGAATAAACAGCACATTGCTGAGGACTGTTTCCACTCACAGGTTTATTTCTATTATTTGGACTGATTAAACTACAGTGAGTGAGTCATGATACTAAGAGAAGTACAGCAGTGAGGCTCGGTGACGCGTTTAAAATGCCGTAATAACGACACAGCAAAAACAAGCGCAAACGTGAAACATGTGCTTGAACCAGTTTCATGATGAATAGATTAGAAAAACACATGAGGTATCCTGATCGATGTGATATGCAAAAAGCTTTGAGCATCTACTTAAAGTAAAAACTGAATGCTTGTGTTCCAAATTAGAGTTTTTATTCGAAACCAGGATGTATATGGTAACCCCAACACTCAAACCAGCTTCAAGACCCATAACTAATTAGGAAGTAAATAAGTTAATACTAACATGACTAGCAACTTGGGGGTTGAAGCATCACAAGTTATTGTGACCAACTAATTAGTGCTTACTCTAACGATGATACATAATCGCCCAGATTTCCAACACTTTGCTTTCCTGTCTCAATTAAATGTCAGTTTCTACATAACAAATTTTGTGGACTATATGAATCCAGTCTCGAGTGAAGTCAAATCCTTCACCAACTGTTTTTTAGAGCTTTCTTACAAGAAAATTCAGAACTTGTTTTCAAATCCATCCATCACTGAATTCTTTTTTCTTCATAAATATATTTGCTCATTTATACGACTACAAAATAAGATAAAAACCTCCTAGTTAAACAAACAAACAAAAAAACAAACAAGCCACAACATCCAGTTCAATTTAGTTTTATTTATATAGCATCAAATCACAAAAGCAGTTGCCTCAAGATGGTTTATATTGGAAGATAAAGACGCCACTAAAATGAATGAGTGAAACACCCAACATCAAAGAAACCCCTTTGAGCAAGCAAATGGCGACAGTGGGAAAGAAACCTGCCTTTTAACAGGAAAAAACTCCAGCAGGCTCAAGCAGGTGCCGCTGTCTGACAATCCATATTCACAACAGTATGGAAACAGATATACAGCTGTGGTCTGAAATAGTTTTTATGCTATTTCACCTTTATAAAACCTCCCACCATTTTTCTATTCAGGTTAAATTTATGCTTTTAAAAGGTTTCAAAGCGATGCTCCTCTTAGTGAGTTGGGGGCTGTGAGGTACTCTTGATGACAACTGGTGAGCAGAGAGAGACTGTCACACATCATACCAACTTTGGTTTTGCAGTTTTTTCATGTGTCAGAGTACAAATACATGGGAGGAAGTAGTTTTAGACCACACGATTCCCTGGTCTCTTAACAAGGAATGTCATTTGTTGAAGAAGAAAACAGCCCTTAGTTTCACAGCGCAAACACAACACTAACTTTGGACATTTTAACCCCTCATGTGCAAAAAGCAAGCATCACAAAGACAAAAATTTCTGTTTGTGAAGGAAACTTCAGTTTGTTTTTTCAGCCAGAAATGACTCAACAAAAAGCTTGATGTCTCCGTTTTCCTTTGTCTTTGCTGTAGCACAAAACTTAACTTCTCAGTTTTTCCCCCACTCGTTCATGATAGTTTAAATGTAAGCACTGGACCATTATCAACTTTGCACTCTTACCTTGTTTATAACTTCCAGCATTTCCAGGCAGGAAAAGCACAGGGGCGCCGGTGAGTTTGAGTGCTCGGGTCTCCTGGGCGTAGACACCCTCTCCGTACAGGTAGAGCCCGTAGGCCGGGTACAGTCTGGCCACACGGCGAGGCAGCGCCACACGCTGAAACCACACGGAGAGCGGTTAGGAGGCAAAAACTCACACAGCTCATTAGCCTGCTGTCACAGTTACATCACAAAGAGCTTGCTATAAAGCAACTACAGCTGAGCCTACATGTAATCTACAGCTGATTTACTCCAAGCACCTACGCAAACACTGAGCATGAGTACAGCTGATCCTTAATGTTTAAAAGTGACAAATATACTATAACACTAGCTTTTGTATTGACCATTAAGGGAATAATTCTGTTGGGGAGTGGGGTGTTTGAAATGAACGGAAGTATGGACAGTAAGGAGCTGAAATTTTATGTAAGTCCTATTAAAATTTCATTTTTTCCCCTAGAAATTTTTAACAGGACATTCTGGGATTGTCAGGTACAAGTCATTTGGGGAGCTGCAGTATGACAAAGCGCTAACTCTCATTTTAGTTTGACACTCTGATGAAATGCCCAACATTCATAAGAAATAAATACGTTTACTTGGTTTTTATGGAGGGCCCAAAGTGTCAAAATTAAAAGTCCTCAAATGACTAAGAAAAACAAAAAAACTGAACTTACTGACTGCTTCTTTATTCATTTACCTATGAATTTACGCCATTGTCTATTTAAAATTGACATGTTTTTAAAGTGTAGCATGATTTAAAACAATTTATGGTCATCGATCGTTTCTTAAACCTGTTTATTTCCATATTTCCTTTTCAAATGAAATGTACTTATTGTACCAAAATGGTGACCCCCCTAACCTAAAAACTAACCTGTTTATTGGGACAATAGAGGCACTTTAATTTTATAAGACAAAGACTTCTGATCCAACCTGTGAAAACATTATAATAACCTAATTTTTAGGGACAAAGAAATATTAGATTGAATGCTCGTCTAAAAAAAAAATAAAAATTGAGGTTTATGGATGTGACATTAAACCAAAGGTGATGAGACTGTGCACCTGAGTGCAGTTTATTTTATGGTCATGTGTGACATCAATTTGAGGGCTTTGTGTCTAAATGAGACACTTCTAAATGTCTTAGTTATCAAAGGGGGATTTTATTGAAAGTAAATGGATACATTTTGTATTAACTGACTTATAAACGGTGTTAACACTTGGTAACAATGTCTCATTAACATTGTAATTCTGGAAGTGAAGTGAATTCTGGCTGTTTTGTTATCTTTTTACATTTCTTCATGAATTTCTGTTTCACGAAACGAACGAGGGCGGTGTCCTTCAAAGTGTCATCTCTTCACCTGCCGTTTGATCGACACTCGGCTCACGACAGAAATGGCCTTCTCGAGTCAGGGGATTAGAGAGCTGAAAATAAAGCTGTCAGTCAGGACCATTTACTTTGATGTTTAAAATAAAGTAACCGTGCATGTGATGTCTCATGGTGGGATATTGTAGCAGTTATTTTCAGACATACACACACCTGCTGACCTTTCAAAATAAGAGCAAAGAGACTATCTAAAATAAAACACCTTACAGACAGTTTTAAAATAAGATCATTTTTCAAAAGAAGTTAATAATATATCTGGGAAGCATATGTGAGATGTCAAAACCACGTGGCAAAAGCACTGAGCCAACACAAAAATACTACAAGGTGCAGTTCCTCTAATGTCCAGTAGATGCTCTGTGTCCCCATTGACTCTAGTGTTAAATTGTCCACCTTTAAAGCAGAAATAAAGATGTTTACAGCTTGTCAATAGATAATTTCTTCCTTTAACAACTGTACTGGGTGAAATTTTTTAACTCAACTGTTCTTATTTTTTGAAGCCTTAACATTAAGGGCATGGCCAGTTTGACTGATCGGTGTGCCAATATAGACAGCTGTAGCTGACAGCTGGCTGGTGGGCCTCACTTCTGCTAATTTTAGTGACTTAACTGCACCTCTACACCACGTTTTGCTGCTGGGGCAAGTGGTGTAGCTTTGGTGTCCATTTTATTAGTCCTAGTTAGCAGGTATCTGGGTCTGTGCATTACACCTGTGTAGTCTATGACTTGCTAGTTCATATGCTGGCTTGAACGGGACTTTTGTTTCTGTCTTTCAAGTATTTGAAATGTTAATCCTTTAACACTAAAATTAAACCGAAAGGTAAATAACGGTAAATAAGGTTTTGTTTATTTATTAATTTAAAATTAAATAAATAAAGAAGCCAGTTAACATAGAAATATCTTTTTAGTTTATATCACATCTTAAAATGGATGCATTTGTTTTATTCTTTTTAACATCATGTCAATTTATTTTCTGAAGACTTTGTTTTAAATTTTGGCCGTCTTCGACCTCCATACATTTCCGCCCTGTATATCTCGGAACTCTGTTCCCGATACTCTGTCCATTGTGCACATTAAGCATATCTACATAAAGTGGGACTCTGAATCCTTGTTCTCGCTAACAGAACACACACTCCTGAACTGTGTGGACTCAGGCTGATGCCCACATGGCGCATGGCCTCCAGCTGTGCCCCACTTCTGGACAGATGAACCCATTAGTGCGCATATAGAGGAGAGGAAGGCGACCACTTTTTTGATTGATTGATTGATTGGTAATTTATTTCAACATGTGAACAATATACAAGTACATTTAGAAAAGAAATGAGAGAAAAAAAATATACTATACAAATTACATACAAAAAAACATTCTGATTAATTTACATGTTGAAAGGGAGGGAAAGGGACTTCAACTACTTTCACGAGGCTTGGACCTGTGTGCATTTAACCCACGTCCGATATCGTGCAAAGCTGATCTGCAGGTGACCTGCTGAGAGGGGTCAAGCATCAGCAGTTAATTCAAGCTGCATTGATAATAATCCGACTAACCTAAACCTCAGCAAACAAACACTCACACACCTGTCAGGGAGGACAAAGAGCGACCACACACACTGATAGGGTAGCCACGCACCTGACATTACTTTCTCCCTCAGTTAACGCTAGCAGCCGCTGGCAGTCATAAACCAACATTCATTCGCGCTAATAAAAATAAGAAGCCACTTAGCGACACACAACCAGCCTCTGCCTTAAACAGCACACCGAATATACCTAACTGATGGCTGATATGCGGGTCTTTGGAATGCTCTGAGTTAATTAGCTGAGTACTCACCCGATACTCCGGGTATTCAAACATATAGGTCATACTGCATCTGTTCTCCTCGAAGCCTGTCAGCAACTCTCGCAGGCCGACCGCCAGCAGCCCCGCGGCCAAACCGTAAAAAGCCACCGCGGCGAGCTTCATGCTTCCACCGTGAGTGTGGCTTTTAAATTTCACTGATGTCTGAGCTACACGATTCCATTTTCCTTCTGTTCGTTCCCCGCCAGGCTGTCAGACACCGGCTGAAGCTCACAACAGGAACCACACGCCGCACACCCAAAGAGTGGCAGCTCGGCCGGCCAATGGGTGTAAAGCTCTAAATGAAATGGACCAATGAGAGAGCAAATAGGAAGTCACACGTTTCACGCGAGAAATAGCTACGCTTAGCTTAGCAGCTGTTGTTAAGTTTTTTCTTATTATTTTCAAATTTTATCATCTTGTGTGTTATTAACAGTATTACCTTTATTTATATGTATATATTTTTTCAAGCAATTAAACATTAGTCAATCTGTGACAATTTCAAAGCTAAAATTAAAGTGCAAATTATACAGCATTCATGGCAGCTGCCAACTGGAAAAAATTAAAAGACAAATACCAATACCATGCCCTTCTCCCCCTTGAAAATCTGATTGTATAATCCCAAGACAAAAAACCCCCAAAACTTTTTCTTTAATTAAAAAGTTTTGAGACTCGTGAGATTCATTTTGAGACAATAAATCTGTCTCAAAATGAATCTCAAATTCATATCTTCTTAAAGTTATTAATCCAAAGTGAAATTCAAAAGTAATTTCTTTTTAAAGAAAAAATACAAGCATATGTGTGTCTGTGATATTTTTCTCAAGGTGGTGGCGCAGAGGTAAGCACTGTTGCCTCACAGCAATAATGTCCTGACTGGGCTGTTTCTGTGTGATTGTGTAATTCAGGCCTCTTCCCATGTCCATATGCATGCACACATGCATGGCTTTAACTGCGCATCTAATTAAGAAGTCTTAATATAAGAGTATAATAGAAGAATAAGTATAAGATATGTATGTGCATTAGTTAGTTTTTGCCGAGACTATTCTTATAAAGCAGCCTTTAGTTGTTCGAATTTAAGTCTTTGTTGTGATGATTCTAATATTTGACACCACTATTGGGTCCAAATTTGGTGTAGATCAGTGTATCTTGCGACAGAATGGCAATATTGTCTGTTTCTTCTCTTTTTTATCCACATACCAAAGCTGCCCAATAAATTTAAACTGGCCCGTACGGGGATCGAACCCGCGACCTTGGCGTTATTAGCACCACGCTCTAACCAACTGAGCTAACCGGCCCTGTATATTAATGAGTGACTCCGTTGACACGGACAAGAGGAAAAAGTTGGAGTCCTGCTGACAACGTAAGAATCTCGGCGTGCGGGGACCGGGCACATAGTAACACCTGGCCGGTTAGCTCAGTTGGTTAGAGCGTGGTGCTAATAACGCCAAGGTCGCGGGTTCGATCCCCGTACGGGCCAGTAGGTTTTTATTGGTGTATATAATCAAGTTTAAAACCATCGCGTGAGTGTATCAGGCAGCCAAAGATATAAAGTATTCAATGTGTGCTACAAAGTGTTTCTCAGAGCTCCTCTGTCTGAAAGCAAACAACAAGAGAATTTAAACACAAGCTCTGATAGATGCCGACAATAATCTAAGTATAGACAATGTTTATAAATTCACTGTGGCTCATACAGGGTTTTTAGTTTGTTTTCTGTAAAGTGAGCGCAATACAAATCATTCTTGCCTGCTTGCTTTAGTGACAGTGTCCTTGGCCTGTGTGGACTGTATCAGCTAGGCTATACTTTTGAAGCAGAAAAATTTAAAATATGTTAATAATTAAATTTAAATCTATATACATAATAACGAATATATGAAAACAATCTAAAAAAATAAAATGTTTTACTAATTCTGCGATTGAAATCACAAATTTTAAGAAAAACTTTAGATTTTTCTTATTTAAAAGGTTTCAGTTTTGTAATTTTGGAAATGTAGTCTTTCCTTAAAAAAACCAAAAAAACCCCACCCCTCTCCAATAGTTTTGTTTATTTTTTAAAAACCTAGAACATCCACAAACATGCTGTCATCATATATACCAACAAACGCGTCATAAACTGCACAGGAGCAGCATACACTTCATTCCTCAAATCTTTAATAAAACAGAGTCTGCTGCAGCTTTGTGAAGCTGCCTTAACCATCAGAGACACATGTACAGCAGGTTCATACTCCAAAAACTCCTGAAGGCAAAGGGTCAGGAAATAAATCAGAGACAAAAAACAAAAACGAAAAAAAATGCCACATACATCCTGATCGCAGCTCCACAGTTACAGAAGCAGATGTCGGTCGGTCTTCTCTGAAAAACAGTGAGTGTTTTCTCTCAAGGAATGATTTCACATGAAGTGTTTAATCTCATAATGCGTTCAGCTTTTAAAGATGAGAATACACAGCAGCAGATCAACGACTGAAAAAAGATTAAAAAAATCTCAGTGGTTTCAGTCACTTCGTCAGACTTAGGTCAGATTGAGCTGGGAGACATTTATCGCATCAGCACCATCACAATGTATTCATTTCAAATCAGCTGGTCGCTGTTAATCTGTCTGAAGACCCCACCCATCTGGGATCACATGACTGTTAACTGGAAGATAACACTTTCTTCCTGAAAGTGTTCGACTTTTGAGAGCAGGGGTTACAAGCCAAATCAGGCTTGAAACTCTAATTTCTACGTCATGAAAGAGCGAGGAAACAAACCAGGAGTCCAAGGTGGTATTTAGTAGAGCGGCTGTGATTGGCTCCTGTGTCTTTGCTTAAGTAAATTGTGGAAAAATCCAACTTAGTCCTTTTCATTGAGGAGCTGTGTCTCACTCCCCCCTGTGTGGATAATCTTGAGCTGTGACTATTTTTCTTTCAACACCACCTCAGTCCAAAAGCTTGGAGTGCTCTATCCTGGTGATGGTCCAGTCTGGAGGAACTCCTTTAGTAAACTCCCTCTGGAATCTGTCAGAGAGGTAAAAGGAAAGATCAGAATGACTCCAAGTAACTGAAAAATGTACAGAAATATAAAAAAAAAAAGATACTCACTCATAAATTGCAGTAAGCAGTCTCTTAGTTTCTGGTTCTCCTTCTCCAATGGCCATCTGGAAGATACGAGTTCCCTCCATGGAGTCTTCGGGAAGGCGTGCGCTCGTTAGATACCAGAAACGCATCAGGATGCTGACAAACTTCCTACCTGGAAACGTAAACAGTTCATTTCCACCTTTATTTATACAGGTAAATCTCATTGCACATATACACTATGTTGCCAAAAATATTCACTGTCTGCCTTCACACACATATGAACTTGCGTTACATCCCATTCTTAATCAATAGGGTTTAATATGTTGGCCCACGGCTTGGACATTCTCCAAGAAGCACATATGTGAGTTCAGATACTGCTGTTGGACAGGAAGGCCTGGCTCACAGTCTCAAAGTCAGGACTCTGTGCAGGCCAGTCAAGTTCTTCCACACCAAACTCGCTCATCCATGTCTTTATGGACCTCGCTGTTTGCACTTGTGCGCAGTCATGTTGGAACAGGAGGAGCCATGCCTATGCCTTCCCACAAAGTTGGGAGCATAAAATTGACAAAAACATCTTGGTATGCTGCAGCAATAAGAGTTCATTTCACTTGAACTAAAAGGCTGAGGTCATCTCCTAAAAAACAGCCCCACATCATAATCCCCCCTCCACAAAACTTTACACTTGGTACAATGCAGTCAGACAAGTACTGTCACCTGGCCCAAACTCCTCCATCAATCCGATGGATGAGTCTGAGTTTAGCGGTAGGTGTCGAAGAAGAAGTGTCATCCATCACTCCAGAGAACAAGTCTCCCCTGCTCTAATACAGCAAATACAGCTGCTCGACCATGAAACCCATTTCAGATCATTGATCGTGAGCTCCCCCCTCTCGAATCCATTCTAGGTGCTTGATTTTATACACCCGTGGACATGGAAGTGACTGATTTGGATGGGTGAGTGAGTGCTCACTATAACGTACATACTGGTGATATAGTGTATAACAAGTATACACATCTATTTCTGTATTTAAAGCTTCCTACTGCTGCACTCAGCAGTCCACCACAACCACAACAAGAGTGTTTGCTGGGGACTATTTTCAGCTGTGGACTAATACAGTATCTGAGGCTTTGTTGTACCAGTGAAAACAAACATGGCTCTCTGGGGACACCTCAGGCCCTCCAAGGTTTGGAGGCCTATCTCCACCTACCACCACTTCCCCTGCCGGTGGCGGACTCCCTCAGGTGTTGGTGCGTTGGTGGTTCTTTGTGTCTGGGGGTGGGCGTCCAGGTACACACCGGCTCACTCCTTGGCGGCCGCTTATCGGGGCCTGGAGCCTGGGGCTCGCTCGGGCCTCTTCGGGGGTGGGGTGCCCCCGGCCTCTCGGCCTGGGGCCCGGTCACTCAGGCACAGCTGGCGGCCGGCGGAGCTCACGGGCGCGTCACTGCAACTCCCCCTGACTTCTGCTCCGCGGCTGCTGAGTGAACCCTCATCTGGGACTCTCCTCAGCTCTTACTGGAACAGTGGCGCGGCTGCCCCTCTGTTGGTCTTCCATGGTCTCTTGTGTTCTGGGGGCCTCTGGATGTCTGGAGTTTTGATCTCCTCCATACCTGCTTCACACCCTGGAGGACGGGGCTGTGGCCCCCCACACTCCCTAGCAGATCGTTACATGGAGAAACCTTTGGAATACAAGCATGCTGATCCACACAGGTATGCACACGGGTGTTCACTGCTCGTAGACCCAAATTACACCTTTCTTGGCTGCTACTTCGAAGCACATCTGTCCTGCGTGCTGCACAACAACATTGAATATTTAGTATTTACTGCTGTTTACACTTAGCTAGATTAATGCGATGGTGTTGTGTTTAGTATGTTGCTTTGTTTTGGGGTTTTTTTTGTCTTTTTTTGCTTGTTTTCTATTCTTCTCTCAACAGGTGATCCAGGAGATTTTTATTTTTTTTCTCCCCCCCTTTCTCACTGTCCCTCTCCCCTTCTGTTTTTCCTTTCCTTCCTCTTTCTTTCTCCCTTTCCTATCTCTCACTCATGTCTGTCCCGTCTGTAACATCTGAAAATAAAATATAATAAATAATAAAAACAAAGATCGACCAAATGGACCAATACGGCAACGCCACGATGATCCATTTGGCAAAGTAAATCCATTGGGTATCCTTGTTGGTCTTCAGACAACAACTCTGATGGCTAAAGAACCAAATGGGACAGGCGGGAAAAAAAAAAGAAAAAAAAGAAAAAGAAAAAGAAAACAAACATGGTGCATGTTCATCTTAAGGAAAGAACACGTCACCCCAGTTTTAAACCTTCTTTATGATCGCAGCATTCGCAGCTGCACACGCCAACTGTGACATCATCACAGCCTCGTAAACATTTATACTAACGTCTGCAGACTTGCTGCAAGTCAGAAAAGACATCCACATGTCTTGAATAGAAGACGCCAAAATAGGAAGCAAAGTGACCGTGAAGCCCCCGCCCCACACCCGAGCTTCTCATCTTTTCCAGCGTCTGTCTCTCTGTGATCTGGGACTGGATCAAACCACTGTGAAGCACGAGGGGGAGTCAACTTATCAAAACCTTAAAAGGCCTCTCAGTGCTTCTTTCTTTGGGGTGTGTTGTGGGTGGTTGGATGTCTGTAGCACAGTCTGAGTCCTCAGACTTCAGAGGAAACTCACAAGCAGGTTTAAGGCCTTTCAGACAGTCTTACCCTGCCAGTAATCCTGACACTTCATGCTTACCGTTGTCATCGTAGAAGATTCCCACATCCCCGGGGGTTGTGTACATGATCTCATCGGGCTCTGCAGACAGTGCTTTCTTATAGTCGGAAGGCAGCAGGTTGCACTTTTCCTCCAGCTTCCCAATCAGCTGTATGGTTGAGAAATTTAGAACAAGCAAAATAAAAAGCCTTTAAAATCCTGAGTTTATCTTTTAAAACAAGGCCAGATGTTTTGATTATTGCATATTTAGTAGCAAAGCCCTGAACCTGAGGAGTTAGTCTTACTCTGGAGTCTCTTAAGGTGATTTAAATCTATCTAAATCACCTTACAGTATTTTAGAAGCACTTAGAAGGACACAGATGTCCTTCATACGTCTCTATTCTGTCAAACCTTCTGCTACTCTGCTCTCTACCTGAAGCACAAAACACAAACTGGCAGACAGTCTAAAAGATGGACAGGTGTAATAAAATGAAGCCAATGCTAAGCCTTAAACCTGCATTCCTTTTGATGGCCAGTAGGGGGCGATTGCTCTGCTTGTCTGACTGTAAATAAGTCTGCACAGCGATTAGTTACCTCGCTCTGTGACAGCAGCAATTTCCAGATGAGTTCACGGTCTCAGTTATGAATAAAGCGTGAAGGTCGTCATGTTCGAGGAGGGTATGCTCCTATGGTCATGTGACCGACTGTTTACCACCCAGAGAAGGTGTACTATCCTTGTTTTCTCAGTCAGAGAAAACAAAAATCCCTCAGCACGATACTCTTTAACAGAACTTCACCAACCAGTGAAACAACAACTAAGCAGATTTGTCCAGAGAGGAAACAGGAGTGAACTTTTCCATAGTGTCTCTGTTTGTTTAATAGGACTTGATAGGGTGATGTTGCTGACAACTCGGGTATGTTTCCAATAGTACCTCACGTCATCTTTTGTGTTTACCCCGGCCTCTTATCACAAGATACCCTGCAGTGTAATCAGACCTGGGTGATTGCAGGGTGACTGGCAGCCCTTCACACTTCAGTGACAGCCACGATCTCTTGGCGATTGTGGTAATTTCCTGAATTGCCGTCCTCTGGGCCTGCCGCAGCCCAACCTTTGTGAGATCATTTTACCTTCCAGCCCTGCTTCATCCAATGTTTATCAGTTAGAACAAAATAAAAATAAGTCATATGGCAAATTTTTTATCCCACAGAGCTAAACAACGACACTTCCACATTCCCACACATTAATAGTCCCCTAACAGGGTTTATTAATGTGGACATCTCCAGCTTCAGAGCTGGTTCAGACCGGCTGTGGCAGTCTGATGTGATAAGTTCACTGTGCAGTAAACAGAAACGGTGTTGCCACAGCAAATAGATGGATCTGCATCCACCTCACCCCATATCCTGCATCCTCCTCTGTCACACCAACCCTCATCTTGTCCTCCTTCACTACATCCATGACAATTCTTTATTCAACATCCTTTGCCCAGTATATCCACTGTCCCTCCTCTGCACACGTCCAAATCATCTCAGCCCAGCCTGAGCTGACCCTCTGATGTACTCATTTCTAATCCTGGTTACTCCTAATGACGATCTTCAGTTCTTCCTCCTGTTTTAGTGCATTAAACGACTCTGCATAATTTACTGCAGGTACTTTAAACAAATTATAACGTTAAAGCTCTTGCACGTTTATGCTACTTTAGCAACATTTTCTTTAAGCTCTGTAACAGCCCACCGATGCTCTCATTTCCTGTGGTACTCTCCTCTGTTACCAAGTGAATTTGTGCCTGATGCGGGTGTATTTAGCGCACTCACATCTTTAGCTACGAGGCCCTCTAAGGCTTCAAACTGGCACTGTGACAGCAGCCTGGAAACATGAGAGAAGGCCTGCAGAAAACAGCACACCATCATTAATAACACATTAACACACAGCACGGAGGAAATCTGGGCTCTGCAGCTCAGCCTTCCACTCACCTGCTTCGCCCCCTCCGTGAACTCCTCTATACTGAACTCTTTGTCGAAGTACGTCCTGATAAGGAAGTAGTAAATCCGGGTGCGGAACCAGATGAAGGGGTTCGGGATGCCGACCACCACCACCTTCTGGTGCTTCTGCTCTCCCTGGTCCGAGCTATAGCGACGGACCGCTGCCGCGACAGAGGCGGGAGAACAGGGAGGTAGTCGCCTGTTACCGAGCCGGTTCAGGACGAGTCGCTCTTTTAAAAACAGGCGATTGAAGCTAAATGTTGACTGCAACCTGAAACAACCTCTTAACATGGGCAGCGCCATCTTTTTCCGTAGGTTTGCTGAAGCCAGAGAGCGTCTGATAAAGTGAAGAACTGCCATTCTTTGAACTTCGGGACTTCATAGGGGGCGCTCGCTAGATAGGCATCTAACGTTTGTAGCCAACATTGTCAGTTTAACGGGGTAAACGTTTTCCTTTGGCTTACCGACCTTTCCAATATTTAGTTATCCGACCAATCAGCACGCATTAGCAAAATGCTAGCGTTTTGTGAGCAAATCGGCTTCCCGTAAGAAAAGCTAACGGACATAAGCGTCATTTTTATCTAGGTGAGACACACTATTGATGCTCTATTTGTGAAAATAAACAAACAAACATGGGCTTTTTTGTTTTATGATCATTTATATTAAGGACCAGCCTGAGTGCGTCCTCTGCTGCTCCTCCTGCTGACCCACAGCTAGTTTATGTACAATGGAATTAACAGGAAGTGGACGGTCTTTCCCCATATCTGCTCTGGGCGAAGCTTTCTTGTCCATCCTCTTTTATCTTCCGGTTAGAAACACGTCACACATTAAAAACCTGCAAACAGATATTCATAAAACACACAGTGACGCAGTTTTTTTAATATCATTAAAATAAGCCTAGCAGTTACGAATAATTTAAAGTTTATTCCGCTTTTCTTTTAAAGCCAACTTTTACAGTTATTTTTCGTTTCTATGGGGAACTTTGATAACGTAACACCCAGTGTGAGTGTTTACAATCACTGACTGAAGACTTTCTACGTCAAATCATGTTAAATGGAGCTCCAGGAGAAAATACCTGTGCCGGTCTTCGCAGCAGTAGACAGGGAGGTGTTTCTGAGGAACATTTATCCACAGGTGAGACGGATGTGCTTCACTGCACGAGGGCAGGGCCGCAGGAAAAAGAGACAGCAGCAGTTCACATGAGCACCATCACACTCGCTCGTACATATTTAATTCCCCACTACAGCTTGCTCTATAAAAAGAATCCAGCCACTTCTTATTGCCACAGAAAATACACTATAAAAGTAAAAAATACCCAAGTTTTAACATCAAAATTTTCTTAAATACTGAAAGTGCTCCTTATGGAGAATCACATGAATTATGTATTGGATCATTATTATCGATTCATTTACGTGTAGTTTGCTTTAATGCCGCAGCTAGAGATAATTTGAATGATTTATATCCTAATCTAGGTAAACGGACGTTTATTCTGAAGGGATGTGAGGGCTGAGAAAGTATATTTCACTTCCTCTCCCTCCTAAAATCAAAGAGCTGATCTTCAGCATTCAAGCTAACAAATTGTTTAGGATGAGGTTTAATTTGGTTGTGAAAAAGTGTGAAGCTTTTCCAGACACAATGCAAGACAACTGAAAAACTTTCACAGTAAAAACAATCAACTTGGACTTTGTTACTAATACTTCACTGCTATCAGGGAAGTTTTTATGCACGCAGTGTTGTGCAGTGTCTCAGCCATCCCTGATTTCTTTGTATTTTGCCCAGAACATGGCAAATAGGGGCAGCAATTTATTCAAATACACACATGTGTATGTGTATTCAAATGTGTATAAAACACATTTTATAAGGCAAAAACGGAGTTTGTATAATTCTAACAAACTTTAAATTCAACATTTTTCTGACCACCTTTATTCCGAAATACAGCCTGAACTCTCTTTGGCAGCTTTCTTTAAGTAGTCTTCAGAAATAGTTCTCCAGGTTTCTTGAAGGACATCCAAAGCTCTTCTTTGGATGAAGTTTCAGTCTAGTCCAAAAGCACCACTGAACGACACAGGAAATCATTCCTGCCTGTGACCATCTCCCTGTACAACTCATCCACCTAACACACTGTATACTGCAACTGCCGCTGAAACTGCTTCTTCTTTTGTCCTCCACTTGTCCATTTTTTTTTCCATTTTTTTAAGGACACACTGCACACCATGCTGACATATGCCGGTTTTTATCAATTAGCTCTTTAAAGGATCATCATGTTGGTACAGAGAAAAAGTTTTTATTGCTATTGGACTGTGTTATCTTCAATTGTCCAGTGGGGGTCAAGTAAATTGCTTAACTTTTGGATCGTAGGCACGTTAATTTGAAATCAGTAATAAAGACTGGAGTGAAGTGTTTCCTCAGGTTTGTTATCCCTGCAGCGTCAACCGGCTGTTCTCAGAGGCGTGTCTCTGGGTCCCTGTCTGGAGAAGTGGACAGTTGACTATCTTGGAGAAAAAGGAGGAGACAAGGAGGTAAAGATTCATGTGTCCACGGTGCCCCAGATGGATTTCCTTCACAAGAACTTTGCCTACAAGTAAGCTGACGTGCACACACACAAGTTTGTATTGCTTTTTAAGAATAGAGCATTTTATTAAACCAGCTCTGAGTGTCACACAGCTCTTTAAAGCTACAAAGAGCCAATACGTCCTCACAGTGATAGATGTAAACACACAGACAGCAATAAATCTCCACACTTGTCATGTGCTCCACGTTGACAGGACTCTGCCATTTAATGAATTTGTGAGAAGAGCATCAGAGAAGAAACACTCTGACTTCTTCCTGTGTGAGGTGAGGATCAGAGAGCACGTAATAAAATACACAAATGTATTCTTTTAATGAGAAACTGCTGGGTTTGGTTTCAGGATGAGAGCTACTACCTTCGTTCGCTTGGGGAGGACGTCCGAAAGGTACAAAGAAGACTTTCAATCTCACAAAGAATGGAGCCTGATGACTTTTTTGGGGTGTACATTGCAAGTCGTAACTACAGGAGCTTTCTCTTCTCTCCTGCAGGAACCGGCTGAGCTCAGCAAACAGTTCCCGGGCTTGGCGGAGGACTTTCACACACCTGACTTCTTTGAACCTGAGCAGTTCTTCTCCAGCGTGTTCCGCATCAGCTCCTGTGGTCTGCAGCTGTGGACGCACTACGATGTGAGTTTCAGAGGTAGCTGTTGCAGGACTGTCGGTGTATTTTTCTAAACATGCACGGTCCCTTCTTCTTGGTTTTTTGCACTTTGGTTTCTTTAGGTGATGGACAACCTGCTGGCTCAGGTGACCGGAACAAAGAGAGTGGTCCTCTACAGCCCCCAGGATGCTTTGCACCTCTACCTGTCAGGTTAGTGGCTGTAAAAAAAACAGGACTTCCTGTTAGGTTTAATGCTGAAAAAGTATCACATGTACTGTGTCCACTCTTAGTAAAGGGACAGTTGGCACCAAAATCACATGAAGAGGTTTTGCAGATGATTCTGCCATGAGTTGCCTGTTTTGGGAGATATCTGCAGGATCTTCTCGAACACATTAGAAGAACAAGTACCTACTGGTTTAGCATTCAGGTTGCTAAATGTTGGTTTTTGAAGACGCAGGTTAAAGTTATCCACCAACAGGCATGAGCTTGGTTAGCAGCGTGTTTCTCATTGTTTCCCATTAGGCGATAAGTCAGAGGTTTTGGACATTGACGCCCCCGATCTGAAGCGGTTTCCTAAGTTTGTGAGAGCAAAGAGATACGAGTGCGTGCTGGAGCCCGGGGATCTGCTTTTCATCCCCGGTAGGTGGAGTGCTTCATTCCTCCTACAGCCAAACATGAAACACGACTGAACCCAGCGTCCCTGTTTTCCACAGCTCTGTGGTTTCACAACACGCTCGCTCTGCAGTTTGGAGTGGGCGTTAATATCTTCTGGCGCCATCTACCTGCAGACAGCTACGACAAGAAGGATCCGTACGGTAACAAAGACCCCGTGGCTGCAACGCGAGCGCTTCAGGCCCTGGAGAGGGCGCTTCACACTCTGGATGAACTGCCAGCAGAGTATCGGGACTTCTACGGGCGGCGCATGATTCAGCGCATTCAGAAGAGGACGTACTGCGACGGGAAAATAGACGCGGAGCAGAACTCTACATTACCCAGCAGTCCATTTACTAAACCTGGATGAGTTCTGAGACATGTGAAGTATCCAGTAAAGCAGCACTGCTTTGCTCAGCGGGGAGGTCGACTGTTGATAGTTTGACTGTGTGTTGTGTACAAAAAATTGAAAGTGGAGCTGAAAAATGAGACAGTCCACAGAGGAAACATGGATGCAGCTCACCTGTTTATTCCTTTAATAAAGCTTAAAGACTGAATGGAAAGGGGTGTGGCCACTTCTGAATGGCAATTGACAGCTTGACCATGTTTGTGGTGATACATGAAGAGAGATAAAATACTGTGCAAAAGTCTTGAGCAGACTCTTATATTTTGCTTCTAAGCAGTCAGACTTTCTTGTAAATTTTTAAAGTGGGTGTGAACAATGGTCCTCCAGCTCTCTAAAGGTCTGTCTAAGAGTTTTGCTTGGCTGCTTTTTCACTCATTTTCAGTCCAGTCCTACTGCCTGACCATTTCCATTATTACCCTTTGGCTGTAAAAGGCTGATGAGGTATTGTTGTCAACCTGCCGGGCAGACGAGCAGACACCCAAGTTTGCGAATGCGATAATGTGAGAACCAAATGACGTACGAACTTCAAAGTGACACCATAGGTGCAGCTACTAAAAATCTCAGACAAGTCCGAATCTAAGTGACCTTAACCTCAAGGTTTTTCTGAAAATCATAACTTTAGAAAAAGGTGATGTATTAATCTCCTATGAGGCTGAGGGGTAGAACTAGTGTTGGCCAGTATTTTTTGACTTATTTGTTATTTAGGACAATTAATGCTAGGCACCTAGCTAAAGAAATTAACTGGTAATGTGCCAACGGCAAGTTGTATTTTATCTTTAGGTATTGTTTTACTCGCAGCCTGTCAGAAAAGATGCCAAAGATAACAGGTTAACAGAAAAATTTGAAGAAACTTGACAAAAGAAGTGGCAGGCCTAAAGACCTATATGTAGCAGATGAACAGTATCTGAAAAGCATGTTTTTAAGAAACAGAAACAATTCCAGCAAACACCTGACACAGGACGTGAGAAATGCATCAGCTGAAAGTCTAGAGTTTCCACTGAAGCCTGGTCAGAAATGCTCTCAGTGGACAGGTCGATGTAAGAAGCCATTCTGAAGGAATATAAAACACTCTGTTATGGTGTGAAGCTGAATTTCAGTCAGTGGTGTTGGAGATGTCAAAACTGATGGACTTAAGGAAAAGTACAGTCAGATTTTGATGCGACGTTCAGTACCATCTGGCAAGCCTGTGATCGACAACAGCTTCATTTTTCAGCATGACGATGATCGCAAACATGCTACCAGTGCATTAAAAGCACATCTAAATAGAAAAACAGCAAATGGTTCAGTTTAAATTTTTTATTGCACGAAGGTTACAGTTCTTTGCTTCCTTACAAACAGTTTAAAGCTCTGTAAACAGTGAAGCAGCATCTCCCCAGTGTGCTCTGTATCTCCTGCTAACACCGCTTTGTGAGTCCCTGTCGTCACATTTCGTCAGTAAGTCTCAGCCTTTACGTGAGTGCACAAGAGCCAACCAGTGACCGACTACGTGAAGCAGGAAAAAGCTCCGAGATACGACTGTTTCCCAGAAGGAGACGGATACACGCTGTGGGCAAAAACTTTCAGTAAACTGCTGGCTACGTGAAAAACTCCAAAAATGTTCTGAATGATCAGATCATGTTTGAGGTGCTACAAAAACCATCTTGCATAGTTGACAAACACCCAGACTTTAACCCAATTTTAAAACTAGTTTGGCTTTGGATGCAAAAAGAAAAAAAAAAAAAAAAAACAAAAAAAAAACACGAAGCTGAAGGTAACAGTCTGAGCCGTCGCTAACGGCGCCGTGCACCGTCCTGAATGTCTCTTCCCTCAGTTTGACTTCGGAGAAGAAACGTCTCGGTGAAGAGCAGCAGAGAGTTGGGGGAGGAAGCGCAACATTTTGTGGGCCCGGTTCTGGTTCAACCACAGTCACAATGAAAGTACACGAACGGGCGCACCCCTCAGTTCCTTCATGTACTTTCTGGGTGTGTGCATGATGCTACGAAAAACACTCATCGGAAAGAAAACAAAGAAATGGCACATGGCTTGTTGGTGTTCTCTATTCTGTGGATAACTGTGATTTTTTTGTGTTTTATTAAAGTTGCTATTAGGCAGCTGAAAGAGAAACCCAGAAAACTGGATGATTCCCTTTTTAAGCCAGTTTTTGGTTAAAATCACGATGAAGCTGCTGCTTGCAGTTGGTGCTATGGAGTCTGCGCCATGCCGCGGCTGGACTTCATCTTCTCCAGTCTTTTAGAAAGGTGGCTGTTGTTGGACTCGAGCTCCTCAATCTTGTCCAGTGCCGATCGCAGCTGTTGGATTGAACAGGAGGAAAGAGAACAGATTATCTTTGAATTAGAGCCTCTTAGATTATCCAGCTTGTAATTCTGGGGTGAGAAAACGATACTCTACCTCTCTCTGGAGTTTCCGTTTCTCGGCCTTCAGGTCGTCCTCAATTTTTTCAGCGTTCTCGGCAGCAGACTTGTAGCGCGTCACCTGACCCTCGAGTCTGGTCACCTGCACAACAAAGAAAATCCATGATTTAAAGCTCAGCATTTAAGTCTTTAAAAGGTGCTAAAAGCAAGCATTTTATTTTGAAAATTTAAAAACTTTGACACTCCATACTTGAAAAGCCAATTAAAATATGTTTGAGAGATTAAGTCTGAAATGTTTTCAACTTTTACTTTCAAGATCCAGCTAGTGCTAAGCAGAAGCCCCAGCTCATTTCATCTTGTGTTTGTCAGACTGGTTAGTTCATTGTTTTACTGGTTCAGCTCCCTCTCCAGTGAGTTTTAAACTGCAGATGGTGAGCTTCAGCTCCCCATCAGGAACCCCACATACAGGTGGAGAATTTGTTAATCCAATGCTACATGTAGATGGAGAGCAGAATAAGGAGTTGGGGTCTGACCAGAGAACCAAAGAATCACAAAGAGCCATCTGACACTGGGGGCCTTTAAACACAGACCTTCCCTGCATGCAGGGAGAGAGAAATGAGCTAGCTGATTAGCAGTGGCTGAAATTTCAAAATAAAACACACACAGTATATTTAATAATTTTTATCTGCTTACATTTTGTTCTAATGCCGTCGCTTCCTGCTCTGCCTTCACGAGTTTGAACTTCAACTCGCTGATCTGCCTGTTGGAGTCCCCTAGAAGGAATTTAAAAAGAGATTAATTTTTTTTTTTTTTAAATCACAGACACGAACTTAAAAACTAGCAGGCTGTTTCTGATTTATTTGACTTACTCTGTAATTCCATTATGTTTGGATCGTTTCCATTTTCAATAATTTCAGCGTCTGGGCTGGTGTCTGTGCCGTTCTTCTGAGTTTTCTGTTCCAACTGGGCTTTTAGTTTCTTTACCTGTACAAAACAAACGATGAATTTAAAACAAGACACCGGAGGCGCTGGTGCAACTGGAGAAGTAAGATTCATACAGATGTGCCAGACAGACTTATAGAAATATAAACCTGTTCACCTGCTCTATCATTTTCTCACGCTCATCCACCAGTTTCCTCAGGCGAATCTCTGAAATTAAAGCACATGTTTTAGGTAAAAAAAAAAAAAAAGAATCGCAGCATATTTGCAACTGTTTAATAATTACAACGACTTTGTTCCATCTTAAAAAGGAAAATAAGATCACATACCAGGGGTGGGAGGACCCGGAGAGATGATAGGGAGGGGGCTGGGGTTGATGCATGCAACAGAGCAGGCATCCAATGAGGGCGTGATGGAGTGGTGTGTGAGGGATGGGAGGGGGGTGTTAGCATGCACAAACTGTGGAGAGGAGGGGTCAGTGCAACAGCACACAGCTTCCTGGACTATAGTCACACTGCATGACAACACACAATGAGCTAGAAAAATGATATTTAGGTGTAAATGTGAAGAATGAACATATCTAATTAAAAATAATCTCATTAAAAAACATTTATTTAGAGCAACATTTCAAACAGGTAACAGCAGGGTGTTTATTAGCATTTCAAAGTTGTTTTCCATTTAGTGCAAAAAAAAAAAAAAAGAAAAAGAAACGGACACTAACATACATGTTCTGTGCAGAGTTTGTGAAAGCAAAAATGGCTTTAAACTCATTTAAACACTGACATGGACAGAACATATTCGAGCTTGTTAGCTTAAGTCTTAATAACAATTACCCATTAATATTTATTTTTGTTGTGGACTCATGACATAAGTAGATGACGGAAATTGCACCGAGATGCAATGATGCTGTAGCAGAACCGTTAGAGAGCAATATAATCAGAGATGTGTGACATGGTACAAGCAGCAAAATAAATGTGCATCAATATCTGAAGAAATGTTACCTGTTATATCAAGTGCATCATGGCAGTTACCTTACAGTTTAGAATTTCATCTTTCCACAAATTGTTTTGTTTGCACAAATGAGCTCAATGAAAAGAGATTAAGAAAATATACAAACTTACATCAATATTTATTTGGAAAGAATCAAAGTGCTTTGAGGTTTAAACCGCTTTCTAAACATCAGTAAAATAATAGTAAAGGCATATTAAGCACATCTGTAGACTACGACATCTTACATTCCTCTTTGCCCTTTCCTTTGCCTTTCTTTCCACCCTTCTTTGACTCCTTCCCTGACTGTGCTGCCCCTTTATTGCTGCCCACTTGGTCTGCACTATTTGGTAAATTCGCATCTTCACCCTGCAATGCATTCTTGACCACATCTATCCCTGCCTCTACTGATGAAGACACAGTCTGGTTAATGTTCTCTGCAACAGCTCCCAGCGCTCCAGCGCTCGAGACTTCCTCTGAAGCTTTGCCTGGCTGGTCTTCTTCACTGGCTTCTTCTTTATGTGTGTTTTTCTCTTCTTCACACACATTTTCCACCTTTTCTGAGGTAGCTTCCTCATGAGCCACAGAGTTCTGGTCTTCTTGAGGCACCATATCTGGGTCTTTATCTGCCTGGTTGCCTCCATCATTGCCTTCAGCTGGCTTGTTTTCATTTGACTCGGCATTACTTTGGCACAGCCCATCGTTGGTTTCATCTGCTGTTAATTCAACTCCCTCATCAACTTCTTCCTGCTCTGGATTTTGGGAACGAGTCGATTCTTCAGCTGCTTCGATATCCATGTCATCAAAATCAAAGGACTGCCCTTCATCTTCCTCATCCTCTTCCCCTTCACTCTCCAACTGATTATTATTTTCAGATTGGTCTTTGTTGGATTCATGCGGTTGCTCAGTTGACAAGGATGACGCTTCCTCATGTTGATCGTTTTTATGTTGGGGATCTTCCACGACA